CTGCACAGCAACAAAGGCAGAGAGAAACAGAGGTGGAATAGATGCAGGATTAAGCCCAGTACTAGCAGTAACTTCCAGCAGCTGCTGATCAGCCTCCAGATGAAGATATCATAGCCGAAGGTCTTCCAGGATGAAGAGGTAGTGCAGGAGGTCCAAGAGGACCAGAGACTCCTTTTTTTAATATCCAGAAGTGTCATCACACACAGCCAAATGGCTTTTCTCTTCACCACTAAATCACCTGTGGGACTTTTCACTTACTCATGTTATATCCACATGACAATATTTATTTTTAAATCTAGATGTGTTTCTATACACATCGTTTTCTTTTCCAACACCAAATCACCCTTTTTTTTTAAACCTATTAACTGCCCCCAGTAAGTGACCAGTGTTTCCAATTGAATAATTTACATGCAAAGCCCAGCAAAAGCTATGCAAACCAAACGAGGGGGAGCAGTAGGGCGAGGTAGGGCGAGGTAGGGTGAGGGTGGGGGGTCTAAATCAAAATGGAGTTGGAAGGACACACTCAGTCTACTGTCCTCAATGCCATTACTTTCAGATGAAAGATGCATTGCAGACTGATAATGCCCTGGGACACCATGACAGAACTACATCATATGCTGGAGTGGGACTTGCAAGCTGAAGGGTTGGGTAGCCGACCTAGCTCAGTGGCTGTCAAGGTCCTTAATAAATTTTTGTACATCTCCTCTCTTGTTGAGAAGGAAACCTGCTTATCATGAGAACTTTTTTGATCCTGTTTCAGAAATTCCACCCCTTCTCTACCCCATCACAATCAGTGTCACATTTAATGCTGGGATCATTTAAGTCTCATTATTACGATTCTAATATTCTCAAACTGCTCAGAAATTCATAACTAATGTGCATCTCCATCTCCTCCTTACTATTTGGTGACCATTGAAATACCATCACAGTTCATTTAATGTCACTTAATTCCAACCAAATAGTTTATGCCTTTGAAACCTCGAGGCATTCTGTTTTCCTAGCACCATATGTAATGTTTTCTTTGGCCAAGCATGACTTCAGTTAGATTGGAAATAGTATTTACTATAAGATGTGTGTAATAAAATACATAGGATGTATGGGCTTAGAATATCGTCATTGGACACATCTAGAAGTTAAATAAAAATGAACCAAACATTGCATCCATTTTGCCAATGTCATGTTATTTTCAAATACCCTGCCCTTCCCATTAGATTATGTCTGAGATTAGCTTTATATTGACATAAACTTATGAGCTCAACGGATTGGCAATTCATACCAGTGTATTACTTCACTGAGCTTTGAAATTTAAGTTTCAGCTCATATCGCAATCAATCATTCATGCGTATCAGGCACGGCATGTTTCAGAACCTGTTTCAATATTTAATGTACTATTATTCTAAAATTCATCAAAAAGAAACGAGGTACTGAGCAGCTTTCAGTCAGGATAATTTGTTTTAAACAGTTCAAGAAATCACAATTAAAAGACCATAAAAATCATCTGTTTCCTAACGCTGGCAAATTGTCTCCCAATGTTGAGAACTCTCCAACATTGCTGAACAAATACAATAGGAGGTTACTCATGTCTGAGAAATAGCGGTATGGCCAGTTTTGTGAATAGAAAGCCTTTTGAACAGAGGGTTTGATGGACAAAGAAGAAAAGTTGCCAAGCCTTGGATATCTTGCTGCTAGGTGTGAAACTCTTTTAAATATCAAAAATATTGTATTTTCCAGCGACAGAAATTCTTTATCATGATGCGTGCATCTAGTCAGAAATACAAAGGGAACTCCAGGCTCCAAGTTTTTGTTTAATTCATGGGACATGGCTGACTGGGTGAGCATTTGTTGTCCAACTCCAACTGCTCGAGAAGGTGGTGGTGAGACATATTCTTCAAAAGCTGCAGTCCAAAGGGCCTAGGTATAGTTACAATGCTGTTCGGGAGTTGCAGGCTCAGCAAAAAAATGAAGGAAAGGCAATACAGCTCCGAACCAGGATGACATGTGGCTTGGAGGGTATCTTGCAGGTAGTGGTATTCCCATGCATCCGCTGCTTTTGTCCTTTTAGGTGGTAGAAGTCATACGTTTGCAAGGTGCTATCAAAAGGAGTCATGGTGAGTTGCTGCTGCGTACCTTGTCGATGGTACACACAGCTGTCCCTGGGCATTGATGGTTAGGTGAGTGGAGGTCGAAGGTGGGGTGCCAATCAGGCAGGTTGCTTTGTCTTGGATGGCTCTGAGCTTCTTGAGTGCTGTTGTAGCTGTATCTATATGGGCAAATGGAAAGTATTTCATCATGCTCCTAAAGTATGCTTTGTGGATTATGGCAAGGAACTGGGGAGACTGAGGCGAGTTACTCACCACAGAACTCCTGGACTGATCTGTTATCATTGCCGCAGCATTTATTTGCCTGGTCCATTTGAGTTTTTGGTCAATGGCAACTCCCAGGATGTTGATAGTTGGGGATTCAGCGATGATAACGTCACTAAACATCCACAGGAGATAGTTAGATTCTCACTTGGTGGAGATGTTCGTTGCCTGGCATTTGTACAGTGCAAATATTCTTTGCACCTGGATATTATCCAGGCCTTGCTGTATATGGATGAGAAGTTTCATGCGGTGCTGAACGTTGTGATATCATTACCAAAACCTAACCACAGCCATTTTGAGGGTGGTGGGGGGCGTAGCAAAAGTGGGCTGTGATTTAAACACCCGTGAACACAGAAGCAACTGCACATGGAGCTAACTTTACTAGATCTGATTTTCATTAATGGGATATCCAAAACATGTGCACTTTTGATGCAGTAGGAGAAGATCTAAACTTGCTGCGGTTCTCTGGAAAGTAGGGTACCCTCCTGGAGAGTTATGTACCCTCATAGACATGGTCCTGGGACATTTTTAGGACAGATAAGATGCTCCATGGGGTTGTCAAAAGTAGACATTAATAAAAAGGAGATAAAGTCATTTGACTTATCAAAAGTAGCTGTCAAAGGATACTGCCACAGCATTTAAAATCTCCTACCTTCACTCATTAAAAACAAACTGTGGCTTTGGGAAAAAAAAAACAAGTGCTGACTATTTTATCCTGTCTCTTGATATGATCGCTATCCTTACAGGATTAGTGCTGCATGACTAGCTTAATTATCTAATATCATCACAACGGAGTACCTGTCAGTTTACAGCTTGACTGACAGCTTTGAGTTGTAAAGATAATATCTTTGTATTTTCCTGGGTTTTTAATAATGGTCTGAAATGAGAAAAGAAAACGGTTGTAAAAGCCAATGATTGTTGAATGATTGTATATTTTTAAAAACAAGTTACCTGATATTCATTTAAGGTGCTGTTTACAGAGCTGTTGTTTCAAGCCGTGTAGGAGATAGAGCCAAGGGGTGTGTGGAGATATGACCAGCAACAAGTGGCTGATTGATAACTGGTCACCACTTCACAGACCAATGACATCTAAGGGCACTCCTGATTCTTGAATTAATCCCTGACAGACCACATTTATCAGAGCTGGTCCATAGAAAAACAGTTTGATAATCCTTCAACTCCTCTCTGTTAGCAAATATATTGCATGTTAAGTAAAATATGAATCAAAACTGCATTTCTCACAGACATTAATCATGTATATGCACGATTAATGTCTGTGAGAAACCTGTATCCCAACAGAATATGTTTCAAGAGGTTGAAGAACAATAATATTCCCAATCCAGCAGTACAGCTATGGCAGAAAATATGAAATTAATATAAAATTTAATTCATGGGACGGCTGTTTAATAATTTGTGACTTTATCCACTCAGATAGCAGTAAATTGAACACATTAGTGGGAGCTACTGTCCCTGTATTGCATTTCTATAACCCTATAGATGACGTCCTATGTTACAGATCTGTACATTAAACATCTAGAAAATGAAAAACATATGCACACACAAGTTCTATAGTTTAGCTTTACAGACTGTCAAATGCTCATCAAACTGTAATATGAACACTTGTTTCTCTCTTCACAGTTGCTGTCTGACCTCTGAGTGTTTCCATTCTCTAGAATTCCTGATATCTATAGTATTTTGCTTCAGAATGTAATATTTGTTGTTAATATTTGCCACTATTCTGCACCACTGGTACTGCCTCACTATCGTCATCACCATCTTTCTGAAGAAGTTTTTCTTTATATGTCTTCTGCTACTTGGCAGTCCACAAGTGCGTTTTGCAACAAGAGCTCTGGTTGCAATAGTAAAGCTAGTGCAAGTGCATAACTGTAGAGAAAACGATGATCTGACTTTCAATCTGCAGGTACGGAACCTGCTCTACCACAGAAACTGCACTGCTGGCAGCTGAATTCAGTTCAGCCTAAATAAAAGGCAACGTGTGCCATTTCAAAGATGTTTGTTGAAGTTCCATCTAACACGGATTTCTCAGTAGGTATGGATCTCCATTCTTAACCAGGTACAAGGATGAGATTTTATTTGTATTGCTGCTCAGTGACTAGGATAACAATGAAGGTGGTCATAGTTACAGTATCATGAGAGGAGAAAGTGTCTTTTCTATTGTCTGGAATGTGGATGATTTTCAAGTGAATCAAAGGCAGGAAGAAAAGCTATAGGGCCTGTTGTGGAAGGCAGTGAAGAACAAAGAGTAGTAGTCTCAGGAGAAGCAGTGAGAAGTACTACCCCAGAAGGTGAGAAAGGGATAAATTAGTTGGATCTGACTTCATACCATTGTCCAAAACATATTTCCAGCATAGAACCAAATCCTGAATGAATTGTGTGCAGTGTCTGAAACAAACTTACTATTGTAATAAATTTCCATTTTTTAACCTGGTTTGTTTCCTCGGTTTTCAGTATTTTTAAACATTACATATTTTTATGCTTCATTACAGAAGGTATTTACATGGTAACATATGAAGACATTTGTTTTCCAATATTTGCCTGAACAAGCTATTACTGTCTTTATGATGGTTTGCATTCAAATTAAGAAACAGCCATTAAGTTCTTCCTTGGTATGCTTACCCTGATGACTTCAGGACAGGCGTAATGAGGTGAGCTAAAAGAAAAGAAAGCAACACAGTTAGTCCATCATACTGAAGAACGACAGGCTGAGAAATACTTTACATGAGGTGCTGGGTATTTGCAAACAAGTCATATATGCTGCAAAAATGTATTTGAAGATAGTTTAAAAATTAATGCACTTGAAATTGGATGACAGGAGAAAGGGAGAAAAAAATATTCAGCACATCCTAAAAGTACAAATGTTGAAATTACACAGGTTTACAAAGTACGGTTGAATCAATGTAAAACACACAGAATTAATGTATGAACTCTTCCAAACTTGCGTTCGTGTTTTGAGCTGGCTATAGGACAATTTCCTCTCAGCTTCTTTGCCCATCCTTGTCAAGTTTGATTTATTTACCTTAAGAATGATGAGGTTTTTTTGCTTCAGCAATTTAGGCAGGTGATGGCCTAGTGGTATTATTGCTAGGCTATTAATCCAGAGACCCAGGTAAACTTCTGAGGACCTAAGTTCAAATCCCACCACGGCAGAAGGTAGAATTTGAATTCAATAAAATATCTGGAATTCAGAGTCTAATGATGACAATGAAGCAATTGCAGATTGTCAGAAAACCCCATCTGGTTAACGAAGGTGCTTTAGGAAAGGTAATTCTGTCCTGACCTGGTCTGACCTACATGTGACTCAGATCCACAGCAATGTGGTTGACTCTTAACTGCCCTCTGGACAATTAGGGATGGGCAATAAATGCAGCCTAGTCAGTGATGCCCTCATCCTGCGAATGAATCTTAAAAAGTTCTGCTGTCAGCTGCTAGAAAATCTTGCAAGAATGACTTTCTGAATTGTTGACCATCTGTCTTTGGGGCTTTGACAAGAAACTGGCTGTGTCTGTTAAATTCTACCAAGTTACCCCACATTTTATACAGCAATAGAGCACCATTTGATTAAATTATATTTGACTGTATTTTTAAACACACTTCAATTTTGGAAGATCCTCACTACCTTTTTCAAAGGAAATAGTGCTGATCAGATCATAGTTTTTCTCTCCAAACCTTAATAAGTCATCATGAGACTGCAGTGGAGTTGGAAATATCTAAAAGGAAGGTTATAAATAGAAGCCAGCGAGATTCCACATTATCAGTGCATTTGATAACAGAATTGTCCAGAAGGAATGGCACTCAAACTGCTCACTAATGAATTGACTTGCCTGCCCTGTTTTACAATAGTGGTGAAGGAGATAAGGTGCTCCTCAGTACAAAAGAAATAAGCAATGTATTTTTTAGAATAGAAATTTAGATTTAATTGGGGTCCAGGCAGATGGTCAGTTAACTCCTAATTGCAAATTACCTTCCCAATGTACACTTAAGAGCATATCATTGACATTATGATTCCAATGATTTTCAACAATCGTGAGTGGTCTTAACCGTACAGCATTACTTTAAATCAGTAATCAGTTAGCCACTCATTAAACCCCACGCATGGACAGCACTATGCACAGCTTTTGTTCTTTTTTCTAAAAATCGTATTGGCTTTAGGAAGAGAATACACTGTTCAAACATCAGTGATCCTGTGCTGTTTGTCTTCTATAAATTTTCATCAAGGATCTGAAAATGCAATGCATTCATTTTTACATTAATTGTCAGTGAATGGTCAGATATTAAACAGGTACTACTATTGTTCCTGATCAAGTATGAAATTCTAACACCGCTAACAAACAATTAGAGATTGGCTTTTGGGAAACTACAGGGCCTGCAACACTTTCTAACAGGTCAAGAAAATCTACAAGACTCCAAGTCTCATGTGGATGGATGCAGATTAATATTTTGTTTTAATTATTTCCCAGACATATGCCCCCAATTTCCAGAGGATCAACAATGCAAAGTGGTGAAGAATACAACAAGGATGTCATAATATTTGGGAATTTTCTTGTCCCTGTTGTCTATCATTCTGAACAATCTGAATACAGTACACATGTCCACTTAGCAATGGATATGCTCCTCACCAAGAAGCACAGACTTTGTATCTGAATGCACAAAGCATTCAGAATAAAATTAATGAGTTAACAGCACAAATAGGCATAAATGGGTACGATTTCGTCGCAAGTACTGAGACATAGTTGCAGGGAGACCAGGCTTGGGAATCTAATTTGCAAGGATATTTAATGTTTTGGAAGGAAAGGCAGGAAGGAAAAGGAGGTGTTGGTAAAGAAAACACGGAAACATGGAAAGTAGATGCAGGAGTAGGCCATCCAGCCCTTCGAGCCTGCACCTCTATTCAATACGATCATGGCTGATCATGCAATCTCAGTATCCCATTCCCACCCTCCCCATACCCCTTCATCCTTTTAGCCGCAAAGGCCATGTCAGCTTCCTCTTGAATATATCTAATGAACTGGCCCCAACTGCTACATGTGGGAGAGAATTCCACAGATTCACAACTCTCTAAATGAAGAAATTCGTCTTCATCTCAGTCCTGAATGGCTTACCACTTATCCTTAGAATGTGACCCCTTGCTCTGGACTTGCCCACCATTGAGAACATTCTTCCTGCATCTAGCCTGTCCAGTCCCATCAGGATTTTATATGTTACTATGAGATCCCCCCTCATCCATCTAAATTCTAGCGAATACAAGCCCAGTTGATCTAGTCTTTCTTTATATGTCAATCCTACCATCCTAAGAATCAGTCTGGTGAACCTTCACTGGACTCCATCATTAGCAAGAACAACCTTCCTCAGACTAGGAGATCAAAACTGCACACAGTACTCAAAGTGTGGCCTCATCAAAGCTCTGCATAACTGCAGCAAGACATCCTTACTCTGATACTCAAATCCTCTTGCTATGAAAGACAGCATGTCATTAGCTTTCCTCACTGCCTGCTGTACCTGCATGCCAACCTTCAGCGACTGTTCCACCATGACACCCCGGTCTCGTTGCACCTCACCTTTTCCTAAACTGCCACCATTCAGATAATGATCTGTGTTCCTGTTTTTGTGACCAAAGTGGATAACCTCACATTTATCCACATTATATTGCATTTGTCAAGTATTTTCCCACTCAGCCAGACTGTCCAAGTCACCCTGCAGCCTCTTAGCATCCTCCTCACAGCACACACTGCCACCCAGCTTAGTGTCATCTGCAAATTTGGAGATATTGCATTCAGTTCCTTCATCCAAATTGTTAATGTATAATGTGAACAGCTGAGGTCCCAGCACTGAACCTTGCAGCACCCCACACGTCACCACTTGCCACTCTAAAAAGGACCCGTTTATTCCAACTGTCTGCTTCCTGTCTGCCAACCAGTGCTCTATCCTTGTCAATACATTACCTCCGATACCATGGACTTGAATTTTTCTTACTAATCTCCTTTGTGGAACCTTGTCAAAAGTCTTTTGAAAGTCAAGATACACAAGATCTACTGTTTCACCATTGTCTACTCTACTGGTCACATCCTTAAAAAGTTCCAGAAAATTTGTCAAGCATGATTTCCCTTTAGCGAATCCATGCTGACTAGGACCGATTCTGTCCCCGCTTTCTAAATGCTCAGTTATTACACCCTTAATGATTGGCTCCAGCATTTTCTCCACCACTGATGTCAGGCTAACTGGCCTATAATTCCCAATTTTCTTTTTCCCTGCCTTTTTAAAAGGCTTACATTAGTGCCCTCCAATCCATCGGAACTCTGCCAGAGTCTACAGAATGCTGGAAAATGATAACCAATGCATCTGCTATTTCTACGGCCACTTCCTTTAGTACTCTGGGATGCAGAGCATCAGGCCCTGGGGACTTATCATGTTTTATTCCCATCAATTTCTCCATTACCATTTCTTTACTAATAAGGATTTCCTTCAGTTTTTCCTTCTTGCTTGACCCTCTATCCCTGAGCATTTCCTGAAGATTATTTGTGTCCTCCTTAGTGAAGGCAGATGCAAAGTATTTGTTCAACTGGTCTGTAATCTCTTTTTTGACCATTACGAATTCACCTGGAAGAGAACAGTGCTCCAACAAGAAATGATATCAACATTGGAGATCAAGATGTAGAATCAATCTGGGTAGAAATAAGAAATAGCTAGGGAAAGAAGTCCCTGGTCTGAGTAATCTAGAGGTCCCCAAACAATCGTCCAGCAGCAGGGCATAGTATAAACCAGGAAATACTGGGGTCTTGTAGGAAAGGTATAACAATAATCATGAATGATTTTAATATGCATATAGATTGGATTAATTCACAAACGTAGCCTTGAGGAGGGTTCGTTGAATGTATTAGAGATTGTTTCTTGGAGCAATAAGTTGTGGAACCATCCAGAGAGCAGGCTATTGTGCATTTGGTATTGTGTAATGAGGTAAGATTAATTAATGATCTCACAGAAAAGGGTCACCAAGGGAAGAATCATCATAGCATGCTAGAATTTCAAATTCAGTTGGAGGGTGAGACACTGGAGTCTCACACTAGTGTTCTGGAGTTAAGCAAAGATAATAACATCGGCATAAGGATATATCTTACCCTAGTGAACTTGGAAGGAAGACTAAGATGTATGCCAGTTGATGAGCAGTGGCAGATTATATCCCAGAAAGGCAAGGGGAAACAACAAAAAATCAGTGGATTGGAAAAATGTCAATATAATACCCATATTCAAAAAGGAAGGAGGCAGAAAGCAGGAAACTATAAGCCAGTTAAGTTTGTTGTTGGGAAATTGTTCAAAATCATTATGAAGGAACTAATAACAGGACAAAGTCAAAACACAATCCATCAGAGTCAGCAAAATTTTATATAAAGTAAACTGTGTTTGACTAATTCACTATATTTCTTCAAAGATGTAACAAGCAAGGTGGAAAATGGGGATCCTATGCGTGTAGTATATCTGGATTTCCAAAAGGCATTTGTTAAGGTGCATTAATTTTTTATGTGGCACAAGTTAAGATCACATGGGGTTAGGGATAATGTATTAGTTTGGACAGAGGATTGCTAACCAATTGAAAGCAGAAAGTTAGGAGAAATGGGTCTTTGTCTGGTTGGCAAGATCTAACTAGTGGGGTGTCAT